TATTTGAGCCACGTCCTGGGGGTACAATGGAGAACAAAACAGCAGCCTCCTCCTCCTTTCAGGAGACTGCTGTCCCGCAAGAGAGATCATTAAACACATCACAGTTCCAATACATGCTCGTTCAAAGAAATACAGGGTGGGGCGACAGGAGGTTTGCAGTTGTGAGTACGCAAAACACAGAGTTTGTTCTCATATTATTATGAGTTAGTGACTGTATTATTTTCCATGGGAACCAGTGGAAAGCCACCCGTATGTAGTTACAGAGTGATGGCTGCTGTGGAAGGTAGGTGAGGAATGGTAACAAGGCGGGGTGGGGTGGAAACTCGGTGTGGGGGGCTTTCTTTGAGAAAGAGCGCTGGGGGCTGAGAGTTGGGGGACGGAGCCCTGCCTGGAAGGTGAAGCACTGGGAGGAGAGGCCGATGTGGTCAGGGGGGAAAGGGACATGAGACATCGGGGAAAAAAAATTTTTTTAATACTTTCCTATGTCATTATTTTTTATTTTTAGAATGCTGTTTTTAACCTCGAGGTATTTACATGTGATACTCCTGAGGCCACGTGAATTTCCCAGGCCCTTTCTATATACTTCCTATGGTCTCCAGCCCCAGGACGTATTAAACAATACCAGCAAGAGTGGTCTGTGTGTATCTTTCCAGTCTTCTCCCTCTCAGCCCCACAGGAGTGCCTTCTAAAACAAAAGTTCCTGGGGACTATTGTATCTTAACTTTCTTTAATATTTTTACATCAAGGGCTATTATAATAACACTGGAGTGGTTAAAATGTGGAAACATTACCTTCTTAATTATCTTGCTAGTTAGACGTGCGTCAAGCAGACTAAGCCCTTGAGGACTTGCGCAGACGATAACAGGTTGAGGAATAAAATTAGTTACTGTCCACGGCTCCAGAATGTTCCGTCTCTCGCTCACTACATTCCAGCACTCCCCTCACGAGCTGTGAAAACATAAAGTGCGATATTTCTGTACTTGTGTTTCCATCGGGATGGAAACGAGGGCTAGACACCAGAAACTGGACACATCCCCATGCCACCTAACTCTGCCCTCTGTCCCTTTACACTGTGACTCCCCAGCTCAGAGAGGGGAGCGAGCCACGCTGACTGTGCCCTCCTAGGAAATCCGCCTTCTATCCCATTCTGATCGATTTTTCTTCTGCCTGCTTCCTCATGCTGTCTTCCTACCTTCGACTTTCTGCATTCTGGACCAGCCAGAACAGGCCAGATAGCGCTGGAGGAACAAACAAGCCTCAAATCTCAGTGGCTTCGCCCAACGGTATTTCCTGTTCATTTTACACATCATTTGTGGGTTGGCAGAGAGTCACTGCTCTTTAAAGTAGTGACTCAGGAATTCAAGCAGCCACCAGCTGGTTGTGGTGCCAAAGGGAGAGGTGTTCCGGAGGGTCTGGCCCTGACGATGGAACGCCCCAGGCTAGAAGTGACAGCTGTCACCCCTCATCGGGCAGAAGCAGCCCCACGCTTCATCCAGCACAAGGGAGCCTGGCCGCGTAATCCTCCATCGGGCCCCAGACGCTGGGTGGTGGGGAAGGAGTCCAGAACTATCTGGCCAACAGCCCCAGTGACCAGCACGTATTCTTAGCTAGTGATTCGTTTTACATTTTCACTGAGACAAATGGAAGTGCCCCTCTCCCTGCCCTCTCAACACCCCCAGGCTTAGTCAGCTGCCTGTTATCAACTTTGCAGTCCTGTAAATGTGTATCTTTTTTCCCTTCCAGCCTCATCCAGTATAGCAAGTGTTTTTTTTCCTCCTTTCCAAATGCTCGGGATCATGTACTCCTACCTGTAATAAGTTTCGAGCGTAAGCAGTGGTGTCCTAGTAAATATGTAACAATTGGTTCTCTGGGGTGGGCAACAGCCTTGAGTTTGGGAGTTTCCCGATTTCCTCCCTGTGGCTGTCCACCCTGGTCAGTTTCAACCGTGTGTCACTGAACGTGCCACCAGGAAGAGGTGCACATGATGGGTTGTCTCGAGGTGAAGCCAAGTGACTCTGGCACACCGTGTGCAGGTCGGAGTCCCAGTACGGACACGCACATTTCAGTACAGCTTGATTTCTTTCTTTTTTTTGGATTCATAATGAACAGTTGTACTCTCCCCTCTCCACTTCAACACCAGGGGGTTGCCCTATAGATCCCAGGGGTGTATCTGCCTCCCTTGGGGACACTGCTATTCTAGACACCCGAGGACTGTGCTCCTGTGGCCAGTCCCCCATCCTGTGCGACGTCAGCCTCCTCCTCTCGTGTCAGCCCCGTGAGCATGCTGACGGTGCTCTCTTCCACCGTTGGGAACCGCGTCTGATTCGACTTTCTCCTTCACCAACAGCTCCGTGCTTCTGCCCGGTCATAGCGGGACTGCTCGACATTTACACGAACCATCTCCACTTCCTTCCCTTTCGTTCCTCATGAGCCTACTCTCGTGGCCACCACTCTGCAGAAATGGCATTGTCACCAGTGATTTCCATGCTGCCAGATCTAGTGGGTCCGGTCTGTCCTCCTCTTGCGTGGCCTCTCATGGACAGTTGACATAACCTTACGATTCCATCCTTGTGGGAAGGTGCTCTCGGCTTCTGCTGCTGGCCTCCTTTGCCGAGCTCTCCTCTGCACCCGAGGAGATGGTCTGGGCTCCTGCCGGTATTTGCCGGTTGCCTAGGAGACCTCAGGAATGCCCAGGCCTTTAGAAGCCCACTGCATGCCAACAGCTTCCACCCTGACTTCCCTGAGCCCCGGCTGTGTGTTTTCATTGCCTGCTCACTGTTTCCACCTGAGGATTTCATAGGTCCCTTAATGGCAACAGCTCCAAGACGGAGTTCCTCGCTGCTCTCTCTTCTTCTATCCTCCATTTCCGTTTTGCTCCCACCTTGCTTATTTCGACAAATAGTGAGCTGTTGATTCATTTGTTCAGTTCAGACGTTCGGAAGTCATGCATAACTTCTTTCCTTTCTTCACCCCTCACGTCTAATCCAGAAGCACATGCTTTCGCTCTGCCAATTAAATATATATTTTATCTGTCCCTTTATCTCTGTCTCTAATCCAGACCATCCTCACGGTTCTCCTGCATGGGTGTAATAGTACCTAATAGGATATTCTATGTTGGTATTAGCCTCTTTCCATTCCATGCCCAGTATTTTAACTGAGTGATTTTTATCAATGAAAATCAAATTACTGGGACATGGAGAAGAGTATGGGTTGGTGGGGGGGGGCGGTAAATGGTGATAGACAGAGACTTGACTTGGGGTGGTGAACACACAATTATATAGAATTGTATATCTGATACCTATATAATTTTATTAACCAGTGTCACCCCAATAAATTCAATAACAAGGAAAAAGAGGAAAAGAAAAAAAATCAAATTACTCTTCTCCCCTTGAATCCTCAGTTCACTTGCAGTCAAGTGCAGAGTCCTTACTTTGACCTCCAGGTGTTACCCATCCTCTGCCCTCCTCTTTCTCTTCTCATCTCCTCTCCCTCCGCCTTTGGCTTTTTTTACTCCAGTGAAGCTGGCCTTTTGTCTCTGCAGCAAGCCGATCTCCATCCCTCCTCCCAGGATGCTCTTTCCCTAGTTGGTCCATGACTGGTACCTTTTTTCCCTGAAGATCCCAGCTTACCTGCCAGCTCCTCAGAGAGCACTTCCTTACTCTACGATTTCCCATTGGTGTGTTTGGGGTTACGTTTTCTCACTTGTTTATCCGACTTGGTAGAAAGCTCTGTGAAGGTAGGAACCTCATCTCTATCTAGTGTTTATTTTGTAGGTGCTCTGTGGACATATTTTAAGCAAAAAAGAAAGTTTGGGAGAGTAGATGGTCTTGCCCTGTTTAGTCACATACACAGTGATGGTTAAATGAAGACACAGAAGGACTGTATGTCAAAAGGGTGGGCAGCACAGTGCTCAGAAGCAACCCAGTCACACTAAATTCTACCAGGGTAAACGTGAAATCCTGTGCTTTGATTAAAAAAAAAAAAAGAGGTCATTCCACTATAGGGAAGGGGGGACTCTGGCTTGATACCAATTTGCATGTCAGGTGCTGGGAGTGGGAGGTGCTGGCTGAGAAGGACGTGCGGTTTGAAGCTGCGTCAATAAAGCCACGTCATTCCATGTCAGAGGGACTCATCTAACAGGACCCTCCTCCGCTGGCATCAGCAGAACTAGTCTAACTTTCTAACTTGCAGTGGGGCGCTTCACTCATTCATTGACTCACTTTTTCATTCAAAAGTTGGCGAGTGTATTCTGGACGCTAGTCTTACGGTTGCGAACACAATTGTCCCAGCTCTTATGTTCATGGATCTCAGCGTCCAGCTCCCAAAGAGAAGCGCTTTCTCCTTCGGTGACAACTGTTGGAGCAGAAACCAGAGTGTCATTTATGGAGACGCCCTGGAATCTCGGGGTTAAGAAGCCCTGCTCTGGAGCGATTCTGGAGCCTGCAGATTTCAGGTCCAGGGTTCATCTGCTGAGTGACTTTTGGCAGGGTTTTAAGATGTCTCTAGGCTCCAGTATCCCCATCTGTAAATGGAAGGTCGGAATAACGCTGCCGCTTAAAGTTGTGGGAAGTTAATGAGTTTGTGTACGTCAATCGCTGAGAATAGTACCTGGCTCATATACAGTAAGCACTGAATACACAGGAGATGGACACTTAATTAATGTGATTACGTTTCCTGGGGGACCACAGGCTGGAACACAGGTTGAGGGCGGAAGTGGTTATGGAGGGGGCTTGAGAGATCAAAGCCTAAATTATCACGTTATTTTGTTTATGTGTTAAAGACTGCTGCTCGAGCTTGGACCTGCAATCTCGGCTGCAGAGTTGGAGACAGTTGTGTTACTCTATTGTAGGCTAGAGAGATGTGAACCCTCTTTAGAAGCACCACCGGCCAGGGGTTTCAAATTTATTTATTTTCCCTCATGCCTATAGAGAAACGCCTTTTGGCCATACTGAAACCAGCACCCTCCATAAACACACATTTTTGCTCTGGTTTTGCTTCAGTGGCAGCTGAAATACCCCAAACTCGTCCTCCGCGAAGCCGGCAGCGTCCCGGAGGGGCTCCACAAGGAGGTCCAGGAAGCCTTCGGCGCCCTGCACAAGCACGGCTGTCTGTTTCGGGACCTGGTCCGGGTCCAGGGCAAAGACCTGCTCACCCCGGTCTCGCGCATCCTCATCGGCAACCCCGGCTGCACCTACAAGTACCTGAACACCAGGCTCTTCACCGTGCCCTGGCCCGTGAAGGGCTCTGCCGCAAACTACCACGAGGCGGAGATCGCGGCTGCCTGCCAGACCTTCCTCAAGCTCAACGAGTACCTGCGCATCGAGACCATCCAGGCTTGGGAGGAGCTGGTGGCCAAGGACAGAGCGAATATCGACGTTGTGCCGGTGTGCATCGGGCCGGATTTCCCGCGGGTCGGCCTGGGCTCCTTCGACGGGCAAGACGAAGTGGACATTAGGAACAGGTCTGCATACAACGTGACTTTGCTGAACTTCATGGATCCGCAGAAAATGCCCTACCTGAAAGAGGAGCCTTATTTCGGCATGGGGAAGATGGCGGTGAGCTGGCACCATGACGAGAACCTGGTGGACAGGTCGGCCGTGGCGGTGTACAGTTACAGCTGTGAAGGTACCGTCCGCTTGGCGGAGCAGCTGCCTGAATGGCTCGGGGCCAGAGCTGTGCAGGCTCTGGGTGTACACGTGAGTGTGCGTGTGTGCGTGTGCGCGTATGAACACAGGCGTTGTGCATCCTTTTTAGGCTAGTCACAGCTGCCAGTCTGCAGAACACACGTACTGCTCACGCAGCTGTGCCGTCTGGCTTACTGTCACACTGACACCGCGTGTAAGTACGGCTGTCATGTCGTCCCTCCAGGGCCCTGCAGAGCGGCGTCTTGGTTTCATACAGCGAGTGCCTTTCTCTGAAGTGCAGAGAAGGTTGGGAAGCTGCTGATAAAGCTCCGGGGAAACAAAAATCTGTCCAGTCTCTCCAGATTCCCACAGGTGCACGTTTCTCGTCTTGCCAAAATATTTTATTGTGGTTGACGTCACTCTCTGGTTGGGAGTGGCTTGTCTAACATTGACTTGTTCTTGGCTTCCTCCTGTCCTGACCAGTGATTGGTAAGCAGACGGTCCTCTCTGTTCAGGACACTCTCCAGCCACCCACTTGTCCTGCACATAGAGACCCAACAGGGTGGGTTGTGGTGGACTCTTTCTTCCGGACCCCTTGCAGTGTGGATCACAGGCGAGCTTTTTTTGTGGCCCGCCCGAGTTTTCCTTTCGTTGCTCAGTTCTTGGGTGTTTGGGATAGCTTTTCAGGACCAGGCTATTACAAAGGTGGCTGAAGCTGCCGAGCACAGCATGATCCCCGCCGGCTCTCTCTTTTTGCCCGGTCATCTGACAAAGGAATACACCACATGCGTTTGGAATACACACACGCTCCCTTGCCTGTTTCTCTTCTGCTTGTGTATTGAGAGCTGTTTGGAAAACCAGAGTTCTTGACAGCGCACGAGGGAATGAACTGGAACTTTTAAGAATTAGTGTTTTCTGACAACAGTTTTTTTTAAAATTGGATCTTCTTGTTGCTGCTAGTTTTTTGTTTACTGAAATGACTGTTTTGCAAAAAGGGACCGGAAAAAAGCAGTTCTCGTGGTTCTCTTTCCATTTTCTACCCTTCCCCAGCCTCAGAGTGTTCCTCAGGACACCCAAGCTGTTTTCTAACTTGACCTTAGGCCTTGAGCCTGAAACAAGTAGTTCAGCAGCTGGAAATTTCACCAGGTTCCTTGGCGTCTCAAATACTGATGCTGACTTCAGAAAATCACTTCGAGGGGATTTGATGCTGTCCTAATGGAAAGCACCGAGATCCTCTGATCTTTAATGGGGCCTCGCCAGGGCTCTGAACTATCACGTCCAAGAACTCCGATGTGAACCAACAATGGAGTTTGTCAGTTTCCCTCTTCAGGAGGCAGTACTCTGAGACGAGGCCAGCGGTATGTGGTGCCCCAGGCGGCCACAAAGGTGTCTTTGTGCTCCAGGTCCTTTCGGCCCTGCAGCTTAATAGTGCCATTGTCCTCCCAGAGTGTGGGTGACCGAGTGGTTTCTGAAATCTAGAATATCTCTCAAAAGGAATTTAAATTTTTAATGAATAGTTTCTGTGGTCTGGACTCGTTAAGACCGATAAAAGTGTACAAATGCACATAACCTTATAAAGGTTTACCCTTCGGTTTTCACCTGGAGGGGGGAACTGCAGGGCTGGAATCTGTAACCCCTGAGATTCCCAGAAGTCTGTCTAATGACAACGGCAATACCGGGAGTTCTTTATTGTGCATCTACTATGTGCCATCACTAGGATAAGCATGTTCCATGTATTACTTACAACAACCCCATGATCGAAGTACTGTCATTATCCTCATTTTACAGATGGGGAAACTGAGGCATGGAAGGGTGCTGCACTTTTCCACGGCTGTACAGTATGGATTAGCAGAGCCAGAACTTGAACCTGTGCACTTGGGCTCCAGGGTCCTAACAGCTTTGGCCGGTCGCCCCCTCAGCAAGTGTTTCCTATTCCTGCAGCGTAGAGTTTTCTGGGATCTGGATTCTTTCAGTGTCCCCCCCCGGACTAGTTAAAGGAACGTTCTGCCTGCTCTTCCTTCTCCCCACAGAATCGGCTGCGTCTTTCCACACAGCCTCTGGGATGCTGAGAAGTCATTAGCTCTGAACTGGAGTCTTGCTCGAGGTCTCGGGCTGTGCACACGAGAGCAGGTCAGGTGGCTAACAGTGCACGTACCTTGAAAGTTTTTGGTGGGTCATCTCTCCCAAGTGACTTCTTCCAGGTGACAAGGGACGTGCTTGTTTCTCTGGCCTCCTTAGAATCCTGAGGTATGTTCAGGCAGATTCGAAGAGAGCCCTTTGGGTTAAAATCGTGTTTGGGAAGGGCTGAAAAAGGGCAGAGTGGTCATTGCAGACAACGGCACTGTTTTCTGGGCTCCTGAACTTGTTTGATGAGTACTTGGTAAGGGAAGTTCAACGATAGCACAGAGGCTCCCAAGGTCAATCACATGCCCTTCTTGCCTTGAAAGTACAGGTAGGGGGAGGTGAGCTCCTGTGATTCCAATGACGAAATGCTGAACATTTGTTCTGGAAGGGACTTTGGAAATCACCTAGCTGAAGCCTCTCCACAGATGGAGACATGCAGGTTGGGTAGAATGTAAGTGACTTGTCCAGGGTCCCACTGTTACTTGGTGACGAGAGGATACTATGGGGAAGATTCATGTAAGATGCATTGGGAGTTCAGAAAAGAGACGATCACCTCCTGGTGAAATTGAATTCAGGCGAAGCTTAAAGTCTCTCTGGACTTCCACTTCCATGCCTTTTCCCAGTGAAATTTTCATGTAGGTTCATAGTGAGCTGGTCACTCCTCTTCAGTTTATTTCTCCGAGAAGTAGTTTATGTAGGATGCGGGTAATTATGCACCAAAGTCATTGGCTTCCCAAGCAGTTCTAGGTACTTCATCTCTCTGGTACAGAGACTGAAATGGTACTATTTTTAGTCAGGAATGGCTTTGGGAAACCATGTATAAATAGGCAGAGCATTTGATTTTTCTATTTTAGCTTTGCTAGCAGTTGCAAGTTACTCCAGAATATTAAAAACAAAACAAAACAGGCCCACCAATTTCAGCAGGGAAAGCATTAAAAACGCATTGTTTAATAGGGTCCTATACCTTGTTCTTACACTGGAACACCCTCAAAAAGATCACTTATTGCTGACCATTTTTCTTTACTTGGAAGGAAACATTTTCTGGGACCTTGTTTTTATAGGAAAAGCAATTCTTAAGATATTTCAGGGCCAAAGATGGCCAAATATTGCAGATTCTTGATCTTTTTTTCTCAGTCTTTCATGAAGGAAGGAGGAAGGGAGGGCGATCCTGCCTCCTGTTGCGTAGGTGACAGGCTAGAAAGTGGAGACTCCGCAGTGATTTTTCTTTAACCCCCACATTCCCGTTTGTGTCTTTGACTTCATGTCTTTGACGAGGTGAATCCAGTGAAGGATGGAAATTTGTTCCCATCACTGTGAAATCTTTATCTTTCTCAGCCCATCTCTGAGACCATGGAAAGCTAGATTGTAATTGCAGTTTAGGGTTTGGGAGCAATTATCCTTAAAAAAATGCTGTGATATTTGATGTTTTCTTTGGCCTCCCTGCATTTCTGTCCAAGGTCTCAAAGCTCACTTACCTTGTGTTATTTTGAAGTCACTTACATTGCTCAGTAAAACGTATTTGGTCTTAGAAGTCGCATATTGTTTTTTACCCCCATGCAATTATTTATTCAGTCAACAGAACGCATCTACTGTTTGCCAAGCTCACTTCTCGGTGCTGAGCACATCACGATGAACAGAAGGCTCTGGCCTCATGCAGCTTACCCTTTATAGCAAGGAGAGGCAGGAAAGACACACGTCAGTAGATTGCGTGGCAGGTGTGAGGCACATAGACTTACTGCTAACGAGGAAAGTCGGGCTTCATTTAGAAGGAGACATTGAGGCAAAGGCTAGAAGCTGAGAGTGAGTGGAGAGAGAGCAGGCTACACGTCGAGGGGATTTGGAACAGGAGCTTGTGAAGTTTCGGAAGCAGCATGTGTGAGAGAAGAGATGGCACAGTGTGAGAGAAGAGGGGGAGTAACAGAAGTGAGGACAGGCAAGGCTGGGGGTGGGGGTGGGCGGAATTTAGGGCAAATTTGGTGTCGTGTGCAAGGTAGCGGGCTGGTCCTGGGGATGGGAGCCATTGCATGTGTGAGCATGAGAAGGGAGGCGCCCCGGCCGCAGAAGAGCGGGAAGGCGGGTGCAGTCCCCCACACTAGAGATGCGGGACAGGTAAGGAGAGACAGAGGTGGTGACGAGCCCGGGCACACAGTCCCGTCTTTCCACCGGAAAGGAGTGGCCGTGCTCGGTGCTGGTGATGATGGAAGACCCTCAGTGCCATCTCCCACGGGGCAAAGCTGGCCAGCAACAGTGGTTGATGTCCGCCTTTCTCAGTGGCCTCATTGAGATGCAATTTATAGGCAGTAAACAGCACGTAATTCAAGTTTACAATTGCATCAGTTTTAACACACCTGCGAGGCCATCGCCACCATGGTCAGGATAGGAAACACCTACACCTGTTGCCCCCAGAAGTCTCCTTGTGCCCCTGTAGTCCCTCTTTGTGACCCCCCCTCCTGTCCCCTCCCTTCAGGCAGCCACTGCGCTGCCTCTGTCACTAGACCATTAATTTGTCTTTTCTAGAATTTTGTATACACGGACTTATAGGGTATGATTTTTGGGGGGGGAGTCTGGCTTCTTTCACTGCACAATCTTTTTGAGACTCATCCATGTTATCATGTGTATGCGTGGTTTATTTTTTCTTTCTTTTTCATTGTGGTGAGATCAACAGAACATAAAGATTTACCACCACATGTGACCATTTATTTGTAAGTCACAATTCAGTGGCATTAAAGATACTCATGCTGTTGTGTGATCATCACCACCGTCCGGCTCCACAACTTTTTCATCGTCCCCAGTGGAAACTCTGTCCCCATGAAGCAGTGACTCTCTGCTCCCTCCTCCCCATCCCTGGGGTGACTGTTGTTCTGCCTTCTGTCGCTG